ATTCACATTTCTTTGCTCTTCTGTATTTCATCATGTGGGCCCACAACGAGAGACCCATTTTTCTGCTCTTCAAATAAACAACAAAAAAAAACAATCATGTCTTTCTGTTTTGGTATAGCTATGTCCATATAATTATTTAGCTTTATAGGCTGTCATTATTCATCTGCACAAATACAAAAAAAAAAAAAATATACAAATGCAGACATGCTTCCATAAATAGACAGTGGACCCCTGGTATTTGCAGGAGCTGAGATCAATGTATATTTGGGACCCCCTCTAAAAATGCTTAACTGCCGATTTTACTAGTTAAGACACCAAATGTACCATAATATGCAACAATACACTCAGTGGAAACAGTCCTGGCACTACCGCAGACACAAATCCACATTCTTATCTCTGCTCTTGGGATTACAGCTGGTCGGCACTAAAGGAAGTGAAGGTATTTCATTTTTCCAATCCGTTCGAATATTTTTTGATTTGCTTTACAAAGAAAGAATCTCTGAATAAGCAGGGGTCCACTGTGCTCTTGTTCCTTCAGCTTGCACGTACAAAATTGTTTAAATATTGATTTTATCTAAAATTAGGGCCTTTCTTGGTGGCGTACAACCTTTGAGTTGATGCCAATGAGCCTAATCAGCTTTGAGACATTAGGGGCCACAGGAATGAACATGATGCATTGCTTATTTTAGGGTGCAGGGGGGGGAGGGGGGAATACCATTTCAGTAGAAATCCACACAATCTTAGATGATAACATTCAGCGCTCAGAGAGCAATTTTAGAGCAAGGCAACTAAAGGTTTTAAACGACTTGCTGACAGCGTACCACTATCCGACTTTTGACTCTTCTTTCCGGACTCGTGCTCATATTCCCAGATCTCCCTCATTTGTTGAAGTACTAGTTCCCTGTACGGTCAGGCTTGCAGAGAGCTGAGGGTGGAATAAAGCCCTCGTCTCCTCTGCCTGGCCCAGCTGTCCTGAGGGGAAGTACCTCTCCTTATGCTCATGGTGCTCCCCTGTCTGCAGCTCTGCCTCCATTGTTATGCTCACAGGTAAAAAGCTGCTCTGGGTCTCTGCCCCCAAACCCATTTCACAGTCTGTGTCCTCGGGAATTATGGGTATCCTGTGGTTGAGTTCGCAGCAGCCCTGTCCTGAGCAGGCATCCGAGTCCGAGTGTGCGTACTGCACGTTAACGGCGTAGTCCTCCGTGTAATGTCCTGCCGCGGCCCTGTGCACCTTCATCTCTTTGTAGAAGCAGCAGGGCAGCCCTTCATAGCTCACCTGCTCAGAAGGAGGATACAAGTGCTCGGGTGTGAAGTAGTTCTTAGGGGAGGAACTCTGAAAGTCTACACCCCGTTGACAGTGTCCCGAGGCTACAGGCCCTGCTTGGTCCAAGTCCTGCCCTTTGCTTTCTGCATTGGGAGGAATCACCTCAAAACAGCAGCTACAGGCTGCAGCCCCAAGTTCCCCCGACTCCTCCTGAGCCCCCGTCCCCCTGTCAGCTGCAGCGGCCTCTGGGGCCCCGGCTGAGGTAGTGCTCGTGTTAATGTTCTCCCTGGGTTCCAGTGACGAACGACTGCTGTAGTTGGGCTCCAAACTGCAGTTGGAGTGATGGTCCCCCGAGTTGTATCCCGATGTGCCAGCCGGGAGCTGGAGGCAGTCATGTCCCAGTGGAGCAGGGATTGGTGAGTCCTCAGCGGGGGCGGTGGTGCAACCCGAAGCACCCGGTTCCCCCGTGGAGCCCCGACAGGGACTCTTGCTCCTGTAGACATAAGGGTCGTAGTCGCTGCTCAGCGAGCTGCGGAAAGTGGAGCAGCTTCCGTAAACCCCCTGGTTGCTGACCTCGGTACAGTCCAACATGGAGTCGCTAGAGGAGCAGTGGCACTGGCCTGAGCTGCTGCTGCTGCTGTCGCTACCCGGACAGTCGGCGAGGTAACCACTGCACACAGAGCGGTGGCCATGGTAACAGCTCAGGCCAGAAGTGCTGCCACTGTCCCCTACCCGTGAAGAAGAAGGAGGCGCCATGTGTACCACTGTGGGGTACAGGAGTCCTTGCTGGAAGGCTCTGCTGTGGTGACCCTTGTGGGCTCCTGCCCCTCCTCCCAGCTGCCCAGCCAAAGGCCCTTGCGCCCCCTCTGGCTGCTGAGGGAAAGACAAGCCCTGGAAGTAGTAGTGCTGATACATGGTTTCATACTGGGAAAAACAAGCTGCTCGGGAGAAGCTGCGACCGTGGAACTTGGGTCGTTTAAAAGCGGTGTGATGCTGCTGCGCGGAGTAGGCGGGGGGTCCGCGGTGCTCCAACCTGCAGTGGTGGGGGTTGAGTGAATGTTCCAGATGCAGGGCGGGGTGGTAACTCCGGAGGAAAGCTGACGTCGACTGGGGTGGGTACAGACCTTGAGGGTCCGAGTGCTGGTCCACCGTGAGAACGGTGATAGGGTTGCCATGGGGGTCCATGCTGGTTCTGGTCGGGTATGCCGTCACCTGGCTGGCGCGGTGCACCCTGCCAGGATAATGGACCGGCAGCACCACCCGCTGCCTGCCGTGGAGCGAGCTGCCAGGGTCCATGCATGCTGGACCCGAGTTTCCCTTCTTTTGTTCTGCATCATAGAAAAACAGAAAATAATAAATGGTTAAACATTTGCTAAAAATGACTGAAGGGTGGCCTTGGACAGGTTCGAACAGGTTTATGGGTTATAAAAAAAACAAACAAAAAAAACATGCTCACTACACTTTTCTCACAAAATCAAATTCTTAGATAATGATTTTTGTTTGCTCAAGTCTGCCTATTTTAAGCTTTCAGAATGAGTTGTTGTAGGGCCTCCTGTCACTTTCAGTCCAAATAAGCTACTAATTATTGATGTTACATTCCACTAATTTTCTAGACACCAAAACAACAACAACAACAACAAATAAATACGTATTGCCAGAAAACGCCTGGGCAGCTTTTTTAAGTGCTTGGGCTGTTTTTAGAAGAAGTAGAAAAAAGTTGGAAATTGCATTCAAACATACCGATAATGTTGTGTCTGCAGTGGGGACAGGTGTGATGCTGAAGCAGCCAGGGGTCAACGCATTTCTTATGAAACCTGTGAGCACAAGGGATCACCCGCAGCTCCTATAGAGGAAAGAGGAATGAATCAATTCAGTTTATTTAGGTAACACCAATTCATAAAAAATGTAATCTCAAAGTACTTTCCAAAAGAGAGGGGGTTTAATTCATTATATCCAGAAGTATATGATCAATTAAATGAACTACATGTGTATAGCAATATTTGAATTTAATCCTAACCATAACATAAACTATTCAATCTCAGATTAGGTTAGCTGAGTCCTTTGCAGCAATCCCTCCTGCTCAGCATCTGAGCAGTCGTTAATAAAATCGCCCAAAATAATATATTGTAAAGGCCAGCTTCATAAATGCACATTAAAAAAATCTACTGGATCATATAAGTAATGTATTTGGTATAAATATCTGTTAGATTTTCATTTGGATGTGGGAATGCGTTATGTTGCCTCTGTCCACAGGGTGGCAGCAGAGCCACACAATTCCTAATTGTGGGGTTAATACAACCCATAACTGAAGAATAAGATTCAACACATGCCTCAAACTAAACTCGGTTATTTAGAACAAAAATAACATGTTTCTTCTGAAGAAAACAAGAAGTTCACACTTGAGTATTAGTACAAATATAATTGGATTTAGTTGCCATATTGGCTAAAAGGAATTTGGAGACAAAAGCTGGAACAGTTAGAATGTTCTCCACCAAGAAGTCCCTCGTTGCCTTTAAAACTGTGTGGCTTAATACATGACTCATCTTCAAGCTCTTTTCCATCAAAGCCTTTGTTGCTTAGTTCACTCCTCAAAAACTGCTTTGATGCCATTCAGCCTTTTATATCGCCACTTCCTTCTGTGCAATCCTGGCGCCATGCTTTGTTGTGTTTTCTTCTCCTCACCAAAAAGACTCATAACCACAGAGAACACACACACTCGCAGACTCTGTGCCCCCTGGGGCAACAGGGTTTGTCCCTCCAGCATCCATGAATAAAGGATGAGCAATGCAGTTACAGTAAAACCCTAAAGTCCAAGACTGGGATACATATTTTGACTGTGACTCCATGGAGATTTAAATAAGGCTGTGCTTAGGGGGTGCTGGGACAGGAAGTGTAATCCCAGCCTGGTGTACTCTGGGCACCCCTTATCTCTCCAGGTGCTGTGAAAGACTGAGCTAAATGTCTAAAAAGGCGGCGGAAAGAACGTCGGTACAAACCCCCCCCCCCCTTAAAACTGCATTCTATTGCAGTGGACAATAGAATGGAAGTCCATCAGGGGGACTTCCATTCTATTGTCCACAGCAATTTTGTTTCATGTCTGCAGAATATGTCATGAACAGAAAACAAGCTCAGTGGCTATGTGAACACAAAGGTCAGCTTGCTTTATATACGTTCCCATTAAGCTGAACATTTAACGTACCTTGAAAAACCCTCGACAGCCGTTGAACTTCTTTGTATTTTAATTAGTTTTAGTAATAACTAAAAGTAGAGAATGATTGGAGAAGAAGGAACCTTTGTAGACTTTTAAGGTATATCCTGCATTTCTAGAGACCTGCTCTGATTTTTCATCATTTCTAGGAAAATTACTAAAGTTCAGCCAGACTAATTGAGCATCAGTGGACAGACAGCAATTTTCAGAAGTCACCCTGGACTTTTAATAGGCCATTGCAACTCAAACTTTTTTGTGACTACACCATTTCTGAAATTTATGCAAAAAAAAAAAAAAAAAAACAGCTCTCCACAGTTTTTACACTATGGCAAAATTGTGAGTGTGTTGCAATTTTTTTTGTTGCAAAAAATGGTTAAAAAAAAACATTTTAAGTGACAGCTAACTCCCATATGATGGCAGCAGTATTTCTTACTTCTACTACACTATTGCATCAGTCGTACTTGTTATAGTCTGTGATCAATATTGCGAGTAGCAAAACGTCACATTTTCCATCATACATTAAGTGCAAATATTGCAAAATCCATTGCAAATATTTCTAAAGTAGCACCACAACATCAGTGATTCTGATTGCAAAACATGAATGCAACAAAAAGTAATCAGGAAAATGTTATTTTAGTTTAATTTTGTTTAACCAGAGCAGCTCCCCCCACATGGCTTGTGATAAGCTTCAAACAGAATATTTATTCTTTTGGCTTTTTTTCCCCCATAATGGCATTTTACAAATCAACATACTAACATACTTCTGACAACGTACTTTTTAATCAAGTTTTATGCTACAACATCCATAAAACGGACTCTTTCCTTACCTCCCCATCGATGTATTTCTCCAGACAAATGGCGCAGTCAGAGGTGGAGCTGCTGCTCAGCGAATCAGAGGCTCCACAGCTGCTTTCGCGCAGACCCTTTCCTTTCGCCTTGAATTTGCGCGTCTCCATCTTTTCCAGCGCCTGGATTGCCATTCTGTTCATGGAGCTCTGCCGTAAACAGGAAAAAAATATATTATTTTTTTTGTTTGAGAAAGTTTTGCTGAATCTACACAATCGCTGCAAACATTCCCTAAAGCATTTGTAAATGTGAGATCAGAACTATAGCAGAGAGTGGAGGTTATAAGTTAAGACTTGCCCTGGTGACATGTGAGGAACATTCACAGAAGACGCATTAGGAGCCAGATGTCTAATTATCCTCCGTCTCTAATTTGCTTCCTGTAACCTTAACAGATAAATGCCTTTGTAGAGGTCAACTCATGAGTCATGTCCAACAGATTTGATGATTTAAAGCAGACGGTGACTCAAGAAATAAATATTTCTGTTGATTAATTAAACCACAACGTGGGTGTTTCTGCCTTTTTACTCCATTGTGTGTAAGATAATTGCAGACGGTTAAGATGGAAACATCAGAACAACAATAAACTTTGGCCAAAACATCAATACAAGACGAGGCTTTGAGGAAAGCTATGAATTACTTTTTACATTTTCGAACGGAAAAAATGAAAACTGAGCCAGACACTGGCCAATCCCAAAGCGTGTCAGCTCACTCTGAGGAAAATTAAAAATCAAAAGCAAGCAGCTCATGCATCCTGGCTGGATTACATTCGTCTTAACGGATGCCGCTGCAGGTTTCCTGCCCTGTCAAGACATCTCTGTGTGCTTGGCGCCGTCAGGCGGCTTCTCATCAGCATTAATTAAATGCTAATTCCAATTCATGCATCTCGACATAAGCCTCCACTGAGAGGTTTTTGTCAACACACAAGAGGAATCCATCAGCGGCGGAGCTGCTGTCGCATGACTCGGCGTCTGCAGTGGAGCTTTTGTAGAAAATAAACCAACAGAAAAAAAAAAGATGTGTGCTTCAGCGCTCACAAGTTTGTAGCTGAGTGAGTTACTGACCTGACTTCTCCTTTGCTTTAGTTTGATCTTGATGAGGAGGATGAGACAAACCAGCGACACCACGACGAAGAAGGCAAGGAAGATGCCCATGTCGAAATACTCCGTAGGCTGCTGTGGAAAAAATACATTAAAAAAAAAAATCAATATTAGGAAATTTCCACATGCACCTCATAAAAAGGTTCATATTGACTGGAAAGACGTATCTAATAATTTATATTCACTTTAAATATTTATTCCCTTACATATATGTTCTGTGACAGTAATTTACACAAGTTACAACTTTGCCATGGATAACACAACCAAACTTGACACAACGGAACAAACAAATTGGTATGGAGAAAAGAATGTGTACAATATTTTGTTTAATCCTCTTTTTATTCAGATTTGGATTTCAGTTTTCTTTGGTAGAAGTGATTTGGTCATATTCGCCCAATCTGCCCAGCAACAGGTCATCAAATCTGTCAGATGTTGAGAAAATCTCCCTTTAGCAGACGGCAGAGATTTTCAGTCAAAATGAACATATTGTGATTCTTATTTCTGAAATACCACTTATTCTATAGCTTCAATCAGAAACTTGGACATATTGGGAGAAAATGTACTGGTGGTTTGGAATAATTCCATACTCTCAACCAGAAAGCCCAACATGATGCAGCCACCACCGTGTTTCACTGTAGGAATTAGTCAGGAACGGTTTCATCAGACTATGAACTCTTCCACCAGGTTTTGGGAGGTTTTAGATGGACTTAGATGCTTTTTTTGGAAGAAAAGGCTTCCTTCTTCCAACCATACGCTTTAGGCCATGAATATGAGAATAAAGGAGATTATACTCCCATGTAAAAAATGACTAATTGCTATAAATTCCTCGTCACCCTCTTGGCAGCCTCCCTGAACCAGCTTCCATTTCTTTTCCTCAATTTTGCATGTCACTGCTGTCAATATTATTAATGACTTTTCCTTACAGTTTGACACAACGCTCTAGATCTTTTCACTAAAGGATGACTGAATGCTGAAATCGTGTCACACTTTGTTTTTACCTTTCCCTTTAATAGATTTGTTATTCAGTTCTTACAGTTGAAAAAAAGTTCTGATTTTTTTTTTCTTTTTTGCCATGTAGCTCCACTTTCCAAGACAGATTAAAAAAATTTTCTGTCAATTTTTCCAGTATTTGATCATTTGTCTCCATTAAACTCTTAAAACTCGCTGCTTTGTTCTTAATAGAGTCTTAAGATCTAGAATAAAAGGCGAATACTAATACTTCAAAGAAGTTCATTTTTTTTCCTCACCAGAAAAAAAAAGGCCTTTTATCCCAGAATTTCATTATGTTAAGTTATTTGACCTCCAACCTCGGTGGCCTTTTATCAAATAGCCAAGCAAACAAGCAGGCCTTTGACCGGCTGATATTAATCTGTCACAGAGCTGTGAAAAAGCCTTCAGCCTCGGGGCACCAAGCAACTCAGACGAAAGACGGAATGATTTCACAGCTGGAATTTACACGGGTTTCCTACATCTGAAACTTTCACCACCAGCATAAGCTCACAGACATTTTCCACGTCTTTGTCGTGATCCAACATGTGTTTCAGATCTGTCTCACACGCGCGTTTGCAGCATCTTTGCTCTGAAGTTGGAGGTGTAGATGTGAACTCTTACCCTCGGCGGCCTGTGTTGGATCCGAGCTCGGGCCACCTTCTGCTTGTTGACGATGTTCATGAGCTTGACGGCGTCGTTGCCCTTCACGTAAACCACCGGCCGTTTCAGAGGATCCTCCGCAACCCGGTTGAGCTGGAGAGAGAAGGAAAAAATACTCTTAATCTTAATGTGCTTAATGTGCTAAAAATAATAAAATTACAACTTATAAATCTCAGGTGATTTAAAAAAAACATCACTATTGTAAAAAATAAGATAAAAGAAATTGTTTGATAATGACTTTAAATGTTGGTGCTTTGGATTTTCATGTTTGTCTCGATTGTAAGCAATATTTGGGTGCAGCTCTTCATCTGATATGAACCTTTTGACCTCGGTTGAAAAAGATTTGGCAACGACAAGAAACCACCTGTAGATTTTTAGAGGGGCGATACGTCTAACCACTTCACTATGTGGTCAGACATAATGAAGTCTAACTCACTCAAAATATTACTATAAACCCTTCTCAACTGTCAAGTCTCACACTAAACAGTTAATGGTTCAGCTTTAGCCAAGTTGGGTGTGTCTCCGTTGGTAGTGTGTTCCTCACTATGTGGTCGACGCTCTGATGATGTCATTTTGTGCGTGCGCTCAGCTTCTCCTAAGTGTCTCGGTGTTTGTTGTGGGGTCCAGTGGACGCCGAATGCGCCAAAATTAATGAAAAGGTTTGGACATCAAAACTTGACCATGGAATTATGGTTTTGCCTCTTGCCAACTAATACAGTCTGATTGGGAAAATGGTGGTTGAGATATTGTTGTTGACATAAATCAATGGGCCAAACAACAAGCCAATCAAATCGCTTGTGCGCAGTACCCAGCTAGGTCCAGCATGCACCAGTGTACCAGCATGCGTCTCTGGGTGGATCCAGAAAGGAAGAACTGTGCAGTATCTCACAAATCTTTCCTGCCAGAACAAATCTTTTAAGATATTTGGATACGACTTATGACAACATTTAATTTCCCGGATAAATAAGGCATTTTTCTAACCTTACCACAATTTTGGTTTGTTTGCTACAAAAAGATTGTTCCATATTATTATTATTATTATTATTTCTAAATATAATGTGTAAACATAGACGCAACAGATCATCCTCTGATCAGATGGAAATCACAGACACAAACCTATAAAACTGCATCGGAGGGTGTAAAAACACACTCAACCAGGATGCCATTCATGCTAAAGACGCCGCTGGATGAAACGTATGCAGCCCTGACACAGAGATGTGTCACAGCACAGAGTCTGACGTGGATTCATTTTACGAGGTGACATGACTGAGTACAAATGGTAACGTCTCCTCTCAGTTATCAGGTGAAACTACGCATGGGACAAAAGATATGGAAACCATAGCAACAGTTTGCCAGGCAGACTAGAAAGAATGAGTCAAGACTTTTCAGTCAGTCCCATCTGTCCTCCCTGTCCTACTTTCCCCTCTGCAGGTTTCATTTCTTCAGTTTGCATCTCGTTCAAGGAAAGTTTCCAACCTTCTAAGTTCTTGCAAAGCAGCCGTCGGCTTTGCATTATATGACAAATTTGGAGAGAAAAAAAACAAAAAAACAAGGTCAAGAGTATTAACTTTACAAGACTTCATCTAATTTTGGCCCAGGGACCTTAATTCTCCCCGAACTCCTCCTCCCTGCCCCTCGGCCTTGCGGCTCCTGTCTCTGCTGATCGCTCTGCTCTGACTGGAAAAGCCTCTCGGGGGAATTTAACACAGCCGCCCAGCGCTGCCTTTCATGTGGTCTGCGCGCAATCCCTTTTATCTCTCAGCTACGCACTTTACGACCCAGCAGCAGAGAAGAAGAGGAAAGGAAAAAAAACTCTCTCTCTCTCTGCAAGTCCAGGCCTGGCGTTGCAGGGATGAATACCACAGGAGAATTCTTGTGACAAAGGCGCTCAAGGGAGCAACTGAAGCATTATGCAGCAAAGACATGGGAATCAGAAAGACTGAAAAGGGCAAGCATGTGGATGTGTGTGACAGCAGATTTATGTTACTGTACAGCATGCTTTGAGGTCTCAGGAGGTGAGGTAATGTTCTCTACCTGTGCAATTAAGAGCTTCACAGCGTTTGGTCATGGTCAGGGAGAAGCTAAGCTTGAATTCTCCAAAAGTACGAGTTGTGGAGTCAAAGAGCAGCAAAGAAAGTGCATTGCTTAGACAAACAACACGCATGCAGATGCGGCGAGGAGGGCAGGGCATGCGGCCAAGCCGCTTTCAGAAATTAAAAAAATGAAAAGGCCAAACAAGGAGGATTAAATGGAGAGAGTGAACGCCTGGGTGATTCTAGGTGTGTACAAACCTGATCGATGGCATCCGGATTCTCAGATACATCAAAGATGACGGCCGTGGCTCCGCGCTGCACTGCTCTCTTCGCCTGCCAACACAGAGCGCAGGAGTAATCAGACATGATCAACAAATGTGCACAACAGGTTGCATGATCAGCTGCAACAATCTTGCCTGTTAAACTGACAGCCACTAGAGGGCGCCGTCTCCCCGAGATTAACCCTCTACAAGCATGCCATGAGAAAGGAGAGTAATCAAAGGGAGAACCAACAGAGAGAAGTAAACAAGTCAGTGATTACATTTGCTGGGATGCACATGTGGCCCTTTGGTTCATTCCTCCAAAGTCCCATGATGTCATCCCATGTAAATCAGCACCACATTAAGGCAAACCCATGTGACAGAAACCAAAAGCTGCCCCCCTCCACCCCCTGCCCAAAGCCAGGACTAACGCACCAATTTTCATGTGATGCAACCCTGCATGGCAAGAGTGGAATTTGAACTGAAGTCTGTGGAGCGCGCTCGGAAAAGTTGAACAAAGTTATCAGGGGTTTCCAGCTGTTAGAAAATGTGAGCGTCTTTCATGTGAGAGGCAGGAAAAGTTACAGCACAGAGGTCCTTTTGAAGAGTTCTGCTACAGGCGAGAGATAAAAGAAACGCTTGCATTTGCAGAACCCAAGGTATCTCCTCGCAGAATCCAAATTGGCATTCCCTCGTCAAAAAGGAGGAAAGGAAAGGAAAGCTGTTGTTTTATCTTAACTCCTGCCTTCCCCAACCATCCTTCCTCAACCCTCTTGATTCGTACTGCCCTATTTAGACAACGTTTTGATGTCTGCTCTACAAGATCTAAAGGAGCGCAGCTAGGATCATATCCTGGTATTATCAAGTGCCCTTGGGTTCCTGCCAGCACTCTTAATAACTGGCGGGAAGAGGAGGGGGTGAGGATCAAAGTGACAAGGCGCAGTGCTGCGACTCTGCTGCCGCCTGGCTGGAGAGTGTCTCCACGCCAAGCTGCAGGCCAGCTGAAAAGGGGGGCATGTGGTGGTATGTGTGGGGGAGGCTTTCACAGAGCGTGACGTTGATTCCTGAGGTGACGTTTTCAGAAATGTGATGCGGAGCAAGTTTCTGGACAATTTGTCCCAGAGAGGAACAGGTTCAAGGAATTAAAACAAAAAGAAACTTCAGTGACATTTAAGAACAAAGGAATTCTGAAAGATTGTATTGTTATTCATCAGGCGCTCATTCTTTTACCCCATGAAGAGAAGATACGATCTTCTTTTCAAGTCGGTTATCTCAAAGGCCTCCGTTATGCATCCCTAATGGTTGTTTCCAATCTAGGCAAGACTCAGCTTTTAGGTGATCATTTCACCACTTTGTCATTTCATACCAGACTTTTTCGTCAATAAAAAGTCAAAGTTATGTCCCGACCTTGGGACAACTTGTACCCGCTTCGTAGATGTTTCATACTTTGACAAGCAACATTTTGTAATCTAGTCAGTCTACTACAAGAAAATGTGGTTACAGTTGCTGACCTTTGGAGAGGTCAAGAGTTATCCATCATACGTCAAACAGAATGGAGTTGGGATTCAAGGTAAAGTGTTAAGACCTTTACCTTGGTCTTAACACTGAAACCTCTGATTGAACATCAGAGGTTTCAGGTTCCTCACCAACTTGAACGTCATCTGATATTTCCAAACATTTGATGAAGTTTGCATCTTTTAAATCATCAAAGACTTGATCATACGTAAAGTGACTTTTGCTGATAGTCTGATGCAGCCTGTATCTCTGACCTCTTCTGGTCTACGGGTGTTAATGGTTCAGGAACACATTTTAAGACTTTAGACCAGCACAATTCACGTGGATTGTGCCGCCTCTGTCTTTACACTTTTGGTTGTGTTGATTCTTTTCAGAAACACCTGAAAACTAATTTATACAGACAAGGTTTTAGTTTGTTTTTGGCTGTATGATTTTTCTATGCCATATATGCTTTTTAATGCTTTTCTGTTTCGTCCTTCGTGTTTTTATTTTCCTACCTGTTTTTGTAGTAGAGAACTTTGTGATTATGCAGAGCTGTGAAGTGTCTTACGCATTTCCTTGCTATGACTAATACATAAAACACTCAGAGCTCAGGTTTGTACCTAAAAACAAATTCAGCCGTGAGCCACATTGTCTCCTGCAGCCGTTCTGCATTTAACCTGAACTTGGCGTGACATGAAAAATGAAAGACAGAATTTGAAACCTGTCACGCTTCAGACTGATCCATTTGACTTTTTCACCTGTTAAAACTGGCAAAGACTCCTTAGGAAAAAAAAAAAAACTGAATCTAAGATCACATTTTGTGACAATACGGATAAACAGATAAACATCTGCAATGTTTACTTTGAAAATATATTTAATCACATAGTTTTTTCTTATTAGTTTATTATCATTTTATATAATCTGTACGTCAGTTATGATATAATCAGCTCATCAAACACATTTGGGCTGAATAGAAGTTACATAACCAAACCAACAGAAGGTCTCTGATATTGAGACGCATATTTATCATTATCTGTTGATTTAATTTTGAATGTAAACACATCACGACCCTCTGACTCAATTAGATTTCCCCTTGGCTTAATCCACAGAGAAGATGTTTATGAATCAATTTTTCAGATCTCATTAAAGGCCAATTAACCCAGCAAGCCAATTCCATCTTTCCCAGTGGTGAAATCAGAGACACACCATCAACACGAGCCTCCTGTTCCTTCGCTCCTCCACATAAACTAACATCACTCCACTTTTATGCTTTTATCCACTTTTGTATTCGGAAAGTTCAAAAGAAGGAAGAGCGGAATCTCAGCTCGGCTTTTTCCCTCTCACCCAGTTTTCTCTCAGCTCCACACCGATGCTGCCCCCCTCCACTGCACATTTAATTCAGCACAAGTCTGCTGCTTTGATGTTAGCTCTCGCAGTTAATAATTAATAGCTCTTGGTAAGAAGCTTTGAGAAGAAAGAGATCTCCCTCCTGAAGAATCTCCACTCGGGCAGGCCTGCGCTGCAGTGCAGGGACTTGCCTGACGACAACAAAAATGCACCCACAGGCAAACCTCTCCTCCTTCAAACACTTGACACAAAACTACAACCTCGGACACCACAGGAAGGATAAACGCTGCTAAAAGATTGCTAAAAACCCAATTGCTTCAATGAGCAAATGCCGTTTACCTCACAGCCTTAAACCGGCTATAGAGTTTCAAGTGGCAGCGTTCTTGTGTAAGGAGATAATGTTCAGGCAATTTGAGATGGCATTCAGTCTTCTGTGGAAAACTTCTTAGAAAGAAGAATCACTTAGGAAACGCAAGGTTTTATTCATACGCTTTTTATTGAGACCAAATGGGGATTTTTTATTTCTTTTTTAGGAAGTACGGTCATTAAAATGACCAAGTGCTTCTCCATGAAGACGGCACTGAGACAAGATAGATGAAAGCTTCATAAAGTGAAGAATTTTGCAGTAATACTCAGATTTACAGATTCAGTTCTGAAAACTAAGGACTCCTCCTGCAACATTTTAGCAAAGTTTTTTTTTTTTTTTTCCTTACAGTCATGGTTAAATGAAAACACAGATACAAATCCCTTATTGGCAATAAAACACACAGAAACAGAGCTGTACATTATATGTTGCAAATGTAAAATTATGGCAATATAAATATATTATGAAAATTGGAGAGAACTGCTTGGACTGCAACAAATGTTAGCCAATTAGCATGAATTAATTCAGCTTCTATGCATCACAAACTTCCAGAAAGTAGAAAAACAGCTGAAACACTGCTTGATAATTTTCAAGAATTTGTTTATTTACCAAAACAGTAGATGCGACCACATGTCACTTTATCAGCAAAACTGAGTTGTTCAGATAAAAATAACGAATTAAATATTTTTCCAGGAGATTGTGGTTGAGAAAGACATCAACACTGTTAGGTATTTTATTATTTAGCGCAGAGAACCAACAGAGATTCATTCATTATCGCATATCACACATTTTCCTAATATCACGAGGAAGCTGAAATGAAAAAGCTGAGACTGAAAGTGCAACCTTGCTACTTCCAGATGAGTGGAGTTTAAAAGTAGCAGCCAAGAGCTGCTAATGTACTTCATGAGATGATCGTCGTTATTTGTGACCTCCATAAAAGCGGTTCTCAGCCAGTTTGCTGTTTTCGAGCATACATATTGATGAGGTGATTTCCAATCTATTTAGGCCCATCAATCTACTGAGAGAAAGAGTATTTATAGGTGGAAAAAGGTTGAGGGCAGCCAGGCTTACCAGGAGTGGATCTCACAGTCAACATCTGACTGCGAGATGCTCATGCAGATTTTACGACACAGCTAGAAAGGAGAACAACTTGTTCTCCTTCATAAAAATAAAGGCTTGCATTAGGAAAGCTCATATTTTGTCATGACATATGACAATATGTTTGGTGAAAGCCAAATACAGCATATCTGGTGGTAAACACTTTTGCCAAATGTTAAACACGATAGTGGAGGGATGATGCTGTAAGTTAATCTACAAAGTGTCTTTACATCCAAAACTTTTTGAACTTTTTTGAATAATAAACCAATCTTGACTGGATTGTTTGTTAACTAGGATAACTTGCAAAGTGTGCATGACTAAATTGAATTTATTTTTTTTGGAACTTGATATGACTGGTGGTATTTAAGCAAACTGAACTGAAGTGAGTGATTCTTTGGGCTTGTTTTGCAAAAACAGGACCTTGGAGTCATTGAGTCAACCACAAACTCTGTTTCAAATGAAATGTGAGGTTGTCTGTCCAACAACTGATAATCAATGAGACAATGAATCCAAACAACTGCAAATTTACAACAAAGACAAAAAAGAAAAGGAAATATTTGGCGTTGCAATAATCGAGTTCAGTTGCATACCACAACCTCACGTAATGCTTTATTTGCACATTTCAGTGTTAAATAGAGTTGTTTTTAATTCTTCTCATTTTTTGAGTGAACTCCACTTTTCAAAATAACAAAAATGTGCATTTTTCCTATTTTCTTTTTTTACATTAACACTTCATTTGGATTTAGCCTCAAGATCTTTCATCTCAT